CAAGGCTTCAAACTGAGATTTAATTAATCTTTGTCCAACACATTAATTTTGAAAACTGATATCATATATCACTGGCAGAAGGATAATCAATATATAATAATAAAATATTAGGATGCGTCTCCTTTTATCACATTGCATCATTTTCCAATTCCAAAAACAATATTGTGTGAATATATATATTTTCAAAAACAATTTCGATTAAGTCACGAAAAATCAAAGAAAATGAATCTGAACATGATCTCTTAGAAACTGAATAAAGAAATTAGAGAAATCAAAAACATATTGTGTTCTAATTGACCAAATTAAAAAAATAAATGAAACAATATTGAAAACAAAGCATATCGAGTGCTGAAGAAGAATAAACTTTTGTCAACCCTTAACCCCTTCAGCAATATATCAAAATTCCAAAAAATATATATTTTTCTTTGATAAAAAAAAAGGATAAATTATCTGATGAAATATTTAAAAGTACCATATCTAGTGCAGATTTTGCTTTTCACTCAAAGTGAAACGGATCTGCAGAATTGAATAATTCTCATAAAACAATAAAAAAACAATGGCACCTCATGCGTATCATGTGTACTTTTGTCTTAATTGAACAAACTTTAAATTGGTCTTTGGATTAATTTAGTCATGGACGGAAATGATGTTCTAGATAAAGTACATACACGCATTATACCTAGTTCATTGCATTGTTTGAACTCTCGGCAGGATTTTGGAGTTGAAATATTGAATAAACTCAATTAATAATATGTAGATTACCATTTTCAACTTTATGGTTTTTATTGATCTTTAATATTTAATAAAACAATTTATGGATGATTTTATATTGAACTTTTATCCATGCATTACCATTAAGCTGCATGCGCTTGTTGTACCGTCTTATAATTACATGTAAATGCTACATATATCAACTAGGTTTTAGGCATTTTGAGACCTTTCAATTCTCCCCTTATTATTTAACTTTAAGTGGGAGTTCTATTTTAATTTTCTTTTTCGTTTTAAACTTGGGCAAAACTCACAAGCAAAAATCAATTAAAGTCTATAAATGAGGCCCTACGAGGCTGCAACTCCAAAATGAAGTACTTAAAGAGAACTACATCTTTTTTTTTTTCATGGAAAAGAGGGAAAAATTATTAAATATGTTTTTTTTATTACATAAATTGTAAATTCAACAGTGAATCAGATACAATATAGTATTAAATTGTCATCGCAACTTAATTCATAATAATTTTGTTAAATTAATGAAAATTTTGTATTTATTGGTAATGACAAGATAAAAATAATTAGTAATGTGCCATATCACAACTTGTAAATTACAATTGATCCAATAAAAATTGTTTATCGCATACTGATGCTCAATGCCCATATGCAAACTAAGAGATAAATTTTAAAAGCAATATGCCATGGCATTACATATAAGAATATGTTTTAAAATGCACATGAAAGTTGTATAGTAGATTCCTGTAGCACCAATCAAGCTCGAAAACCACTCAAACGTCATCTTAGGTTTTTTTTTTTGAAAGATATGATAATTTCATTACTAAATGTCATCGTAATTAGTTAATTACATGCTGATTTGGACATTACTAATCAGTTGGCTGTTTAGGTAACTTGCAAAATATTTTTTTAGATAGAAGGTGCACTTAAAAGTTGAACTGGGGCTGGCATATTATGAGTTACAGCACTAGCTAGCAAGGGTTTGAAAAGTCAGAAGATGGGTTGTTCTATGTCTGCTAAGGTTTTTGATCACTACGAGAAAAACCAATTTTTTTTTTTAATAGGAGCTATGAGGAAAACTTGAGGAGAGATGTTGTTCGTTTCCCCCAGTGTCAAGGACAGTTTTAGAAATTTAGGGGGTGGGAGATATTGACATTCCACCCACGGCATAGCCTTAAAAAACAAAGATTACATATTAATGAATAATTATATAAACTTACAAGTTAAAACTAAGTTGAGTCGTATGAATGCTAATGGGAAATGGTGGGAAGTTGACTGGCAGCAATATTAGTTAGCTTAACTCAAACCCCCGTTTTCCTGGAGGCTGGAGTAATGGAAGTCAGCTATGTAAGCTTGCATCTTGCATATAATAATTTACTTTTCAGAATAATTCAACTATTTTTTATCTTAACCAATACAAATTGAACCCAATCATAAGTTTGTGGTGAAATTGAAGCCAGCAATAAGTCATCAAAGTTCCAAATCCCGGCCAGCAAAAGGCATCTTTGATAAAGTCATAAAGATAATAATCATTACTGGTGTACTTGTTACCCAGCTTTTCTTTAGGTAGTAGCAATTTTTCAACGAGGTTTGGAGTCAAAGACCATTACAAGCAAGTTGCAATCTAACAAATACCTAGTTGGGGTATCTATCACCCAACTAGTTGGTGTCAGATTTTTTTTGATCATCAAAGAGAAGAGGGAATTACAAAACAGGCTTGGGATCATTTTTTTGGGTAAACTTTGGACTCTTGTAAATTAATTAGGGAAAATAATTATATATTTCATGTTTATTTGTTGTGGAATCGAGGAGGATGTATAACCACGTAAACCTGTTAAGTAATCTTGGTTTTGAAATGATAACTTAGAGATTTAAAGAGGAATTTGAACTTTTACCGAAGAGAATTACAATTTTCCTCCTATTCTTTTCTAGAAGGTAAATGTATCCTTTGTCCACATTTTGTCTCTTGGATTTAATGTGACATTCATTTTTTTTTTCGAGGAAAGTGATATCACTGATATTCATATTTGTTTGACGACGTGGATGCATATTCATCCATGAATTAATTGAATGAGGCATGATATTTTTTGTACTATATATAAATCAATAGTATAATTGGCACGTCGAATGAGAAAGTGAAAGTGATAAAAAATCCAAAAAGAAAGCTAGGATCACCTTGTTCAATTTGAATAATTGGCAGAAAGTATATATAGACTGAACATGAAACTGGAAAGAAGCGTGATTCATGAGTAATATAAACCCATCTTTCAATATAATGGGAAAGAGATTATTTTGTTGTTTCAATTTTCAAACAACTACCTAACTATTATAAGATTTAACAATTTAGTATTTGTTTGGTTTTCAACAAAACATCTCTAATTATTAGGTTATGATCTTGATGTATAGATACAGAAATAGATTGAATTGCTTGAATATATATATATATATATATATATTGGTTTCCTGATGATGTGGAGAGGACAAGGAAGATCTGTTTCTTTGAATTTGGTCGAGATGCACATGATGGAAAAACTTTTGTACACTTCAATAAACTATACGTTGTGTTTATTCCAAAATTCACGAGTTATACAAAACAATTATCTGGTTCTTCTTGTAGAACATTTTCACACTGTTGTATTAAAACCCAAATTGGTATGGGGCAGCGAGAGATGAACTGAATAAAAGTGTTCACACCTCTGCGACATGCATATATATAGAGAGAGACTGAGGCTTTTGTTTTGTTTTGTTTTCTCTGTCTCTTCTGTGTGAGAAAGTGTATCAACCAAAATCCCGAATCCATACCCACCTCAACAACTTGAGTTAATTCCAATTTGCTACAACCTCTTAATTCTGTAAAATTATTGCTTATAAAGGAAACCTCACAATGTTAAGAATTACGAGTATTTTTTTAAAAGTAAATTATTATTGTATATTGATGGATAACATGCATGGAGTGAAATGTGCTGAAACAAGTCTTTTAACTTTTCCAATTAATCATAAGACTCGTTCCAATCTCAAAAACTTCAGTGTATAGCTATACAACACGTAGAGCCCCTTAGCCTTTTCTTATTAAGAACTAGACTTGACAGTGTTTTTTTTTCTTTATTAAATTTTTGAAATGAAAATATGAGAAAATGGTGTGACTCTTCTTCTAAGCAAAGTCGATATATGAATTTTTATAAGTAATTGAAACCCCTAATTAACTACCACTAAAACTACAATCCCACAAAGAAATAAAGAAAAAAAAAACCCAACCAAAAACTGGTAAACCAGCAAACTTTCAGTATTTTTCATAATAATGTGTTATTTAATACATCTAGACAAGGTCAAGAGAGAAGAGGGAAGTTGAATCCAGTAGCTCTTGACCATTCATTGGAGGGCTAAGATAGTTAGTGTCATATATAATCAATATGAAGGGTAAGGAGTTGCAATTAAAGTAGGCTATCCTTATCTGCAGTTGTTATAACTTACTCTTCGTATAGATTCTCATCAATCGGTATTAATCTAACAGTAATCTTCCACTAGTTTAACACACAATTTTAGGGCATTTGTACTTAAATGTTATTATTCTAAGGGGGCAGTGCAACTTCTTTATTAGTTGCGACTTGGAGGATATCAGAACCGAGAGTTTTGCAATGAAACAAACAACTGATTTGTTCAATACGTAATCTTCCCTTTTCCTTTTTCTTTTGTTAGTAAAAAAAGTAGATGTAAAGTTTGTAATTAATGATCTTAAGTTCAAGTAATATTGTTCTCTCTTGTATTGAAAACAAAAAGCAAATTTATAAAACTAAAAAAAACAAATCTGTAAAACAAATTTTTTTTAAATTAATCTCACGTTACGTTATTCGATGAGAAAATCTAACCTTTTAATAGTGTAAAGATGAATAATTATAAGTACACATTGTTATTGAGCACCTGCACATGATCTTTTTCTCCTGTGTTGTTTATCTGATCTAGTCCAATATAATTGGAGATGCCGATTAATGTTGAAATATATTTAAGTGCTGTTTACTTATTAATTAACCTCACATTAACTCCTTGATGCATTCATGGACCCTAGCCTCCAACTGTGACAAGAATGCAAATACAGTCATTTACAGAAACCACGGGTTTGCTCACATGAATTTTCTTATTGGCTGAGCTGTAAGTGTGATTGAATATCGAAGCCCATATCTGGAATTCATATGCTAAATCCAAGCAAACGTGCTTCATTAATCAGCTACACTTATAACATAATCATATGAAAAAATTAGTTGAGAACTTGCGGCTAAACGGAATATGTACTTTTTGCAATATATAATCAAATGTTACAGTCGAAAAAGAAAGAGAAGACATTTCCGGGAGAATCGCCAAATCACACATTGTACAGAAGGGATGATTTCAAATTTCACACAGAGGTTAGACCCCTGAGAAAAAGCTAGATTCAATTCTAAGAGAAACCCATTTGCTCATCTATCCATCGTAGAACAACATATAGACCAATGATTAAACACCATATTCAACCAAATTCAGAGAGAAGAGATAGATTTCATTATATTGTGATGTTAATGAAATCTCTAAGCTCTCTCTGAAGCCATAATTGAATGAATTCTGGCCGTGATCAGTTTGCAGCATCAGGGTAAGCGAACGTGGTCAACGGTTGAAACCACGCAAAAACAAGTACAGAGAAAAACCCTGCAGTAGTTTGAACCTCACGGCAAAAATAAGCTTTAGGAACAAGAGATATATGAGCCTTGGTTTCACTTAGAAGATTTGAAACAAAAGAAAAATGGAGGACAACTTAAACTTAAAGATATTAGTGGAAAGAATCAATGATGCAGAAACTGATGAAGCTAGCTGGTTTTCTAGGATTTCACATGAACTTCAGAAAAGACACTCTTAAGTCCTTAACAAGATCCTTCACTGTCATGTTGAATTCAGCATCTTTCTGCAAAAAAAAAGGAATTGATTTTCATCGGTCATATTGAATTCAATTTCAATAAATTTAAATCCCCAAGAAAATAAAAGATGTTTTAAATTTCTTCTAGTTAATTACCTGAGCAATTATGGTCATGTCAAGAGTGGAATTCCCAAAAGGCAAGACGCTGCTATTAACAACAGTTAGAGGGAGGTTCTCTATTTCGCTTAGTATTTTCACCACGAAACCTTTCTGTTTCTCGCAATGGATTCGGATGAGAACATCGTTATCCGAGACTCTAGCTTCAATTTCTGGTAGTGCTGCATCGGAGGACTGACTATCGGAGTTCTCTTCACATGAAGAGGTTTCATCATCAGCTGATAGCTGAGATTTCCTGACAAAAACGACGGATTCCACAGTTCTCTTCTTGGTTTGCTCCTCGAGCACTTTTAAACGCTCTTGAAGTTGTTTCACATACTTGATAGCATCTCCAAGAACTGAAGCTTTGTCCATCTATAAACAAAAAACTCTCGGTTTTCACTGAACGAATCCTCACAAAAAATCAAGAGGAAAAACATGCTATGAAGAAAGATATATTTGGTACCTTCTTCAGGCCAGGAACAATTGCTGAGAGAGCTATGAAGCGCTGGCTAAGCTTTTCTCTTCTCTTTCTCTCAGCCATAATGTGATCTTGAGCGTGTGAAGGGCTTCTAGTCATTGAGTAAGTCCTGTTGATCCCTGGATTTGTTTTTGGTGCATAATTTGTGTTCTCGTAAGGACCATTTGTGATCACAGGCGAAAAGTTCATATTTCCTGAAGATACCATTTCGTCTTTAGGCTTCATAGAGCGGTGGTCAATATTATAAAACTGCTGAGAATTGGCAGGCAGTGAAGTTGATTTCTCGAAAGATAGAATTTGAGAGGTGGGAGAGGATGGTTTTGGCGGAACATGCTCGGTGGTTGTGCTAGAGTTCCAACTAGTGCTAGTTTTGATCTGTTTTGTAGGTCTTTCACAAGTTTCAATAGATGAACCACTAAAAGTGGTGGCGTTTTTGGTGTTGAAATTAGGGTAAGAGGAATAGCTCTCAGAGGAAAATGATTTCTTGAAGTTCCCTCCCGTCAGGGCAGTGGCTATATCTTCTGCGGTGGTGAGTTCAGCTAAAGAGTTCATATGGCATTGGTGGATGATGTTGTATTCATCCATTCCCTGGAAATTCAAAACCCCAAATCAGAAAAGTTGAAGATGTCTATAATCAGAGATAAGGAAGAAACACGACAGTTGGAACAATACATATTGTCATCATTTCTATTTATTTAGCAATCTTACCAATTCAGATAACCATTTTGCTGATGAAGAATCCATTGTTGTAGCCAGGTGTGAATAAAAGACTTTCCTGGAAAGATCAAAGAAGGTGCAACTGCTTCAGACATGAAGAAACCAACCTCAGAACAAAAGAAGGGAAATGATACAGAACAAAACTCTGCTTTCAGACCTTACATCAAGTTGAGCAAAAGAAAAGTAGAGATGCAAGATTACCTTTTCTCTAGCGATTATAAAAACTGGCTTAATTATCAGCTATCCTTTTCTTCTGCAATGGCTGAAAACTGAAAACAGACTTCTCCTCTCTTTCCCTCTTATAGTTGTGTCTGACCCATCGATTCTGCTCTAACCCACGTTTGATAATTTTGTCCCTATCCTCAAATCATTATTCAATTCAAGGCTGTTCCTCTCTCCTCCTCTCTCTCGACTGAGATGGAATCGTGGACACTGGAAAAAAAAATTGTCAATAAAATAATCCCAAGTTGATCCAAGAAGAGATTGCGAATCAACAGGGAGCAAGAAAAGAAACAATATATTTTCTCTCACTCTGCCAACCAGGAGCAGAACTCAAATAATTATTGAATTAGTCATTGTAGTCCCTGTCAAGAGTTTTATAATCTGGTATTGCTTCCATGCCATCTAATTGGCACTATGGCATATATATGTATATCTCATTCTAATTTCTTTTTTGGTTCATCTATCGTTTCTTTCAATCATTATTTGTTTAACAATTCTAGCCTAGAAAAGAGGTCTGTCACAAACATTAATGCTTGCCGGCCCATCATCAATGCTTCCATACCCTGTGCTGTACCTATCTCATCATGTCATAGAGACCAATCCATTGATTCAGTCCAGGGTGTGAAAACCATCACAATAATTGCCATATTTCCTCCAGTTTTTCTCCTTTTTCTTTTTTTTTTAATTCGATTCGGTTACTCACATGTCAAATTTCTCAAGCAAGACCAACTTAGATCCATAAGCCAAGGGCTACTTTCATCAGAAACTTTTATGAAATCTAAACCAGCATTTTCTAATACTTGATTTCTGAAACTATCTTTGTTAAGATACATGCTTGTTTGCTCTGACAAAAGCTGTGAGATCAAAACAGCCCATGTCCTGACCATGCAGTGGCCAGCTCATCTATGTCGACCTTGTAGTGTTACATTTTTTTGTAAATATTTTTCTTCGGGCTTCTTCCAATGTGAAACTTAGTACACTGTTGAACCATTTTAATATTTGTTTGACGAAATTGTTATTAAGATGCAGAAGAAATAGACGGAATTAGTATGAAACATGTCATTTTATAACGTTTCTCCATAATCATGATATGTGATCAATAAAATTCAAGCAAATTACTAGAAACATATCTTTAAGATTATAGAGATATTACATTATCATTTTTTATATCTTCAAGAACTTGCACATTTTCCTTTAAACATCATAAAATATTGAGGAAAATGGGTAGATCGTCTAGAAGATGATAGTGATTAGTGAATGCAACTAAAAATTAGGATAAGAATATAATCTCGAATATATTTACCATTAAATGCTAAGGTTATGAATTATATATGCATGCTTAATTAATCACTTTAATCCTAGTTAATATATAACAGGCTTTTGGCCAAAACAAAAATTATACAGGCTAATAATTAAGCAGTGTTTAGCTTAATATATAATCTGACAAGAGTAGGCAGGCATGGTAATTTGCTTACCAGCTATAATGTTTTTTTTTTTTTAATTTTATGAAATTACATGTAGCAATAAATATTATAATTATAAACAATTAATTTAACATATATCTAGTAAAAGAAACTAATGAACAAATCTAATTAATAAATTAATTTAAAATTGGACAAAACCTAATGAAGTATGTATGATGAGCCTTGAACTATGAGTCTCAGAACCTTGAGCAAAGAAAAAAAATGCAAATGAGTTTTACTATTTTTTGTAAATAAGGTAATTAATCATTTTCTTTTGTCTCTAATGTAAAGGAAATTAATTAATTGGTGGGAGATCCCGAAGATTCTTGCTATTTTTTGGTATAAAAGATTGCGGACAACCACCTGCTGATCTCCATGATCTTTGCGGCCATTTCTTAATTCAATGCCAAATTGCCAGTATCTTTCTCGCCAAATTGGTTCAAAGAAAAAGGAAAATGCCTAGAGGATCTACTTATTAAAGCCATATTTAAAGAACAATCATATGATCCAAATACATGGTTTAAGAAAAATAAAAGGGTTAGATTACAAGAAAGAATCATTAAGTTTTGTCCTAGTTATAAGGCTTAAAACAGTAAATAAATATATGAAAAATTCAAGAATGTTAACTACGGTCATTTATCATTATGACTATTGATCATTCATTTTGTACTCATACTAGAATTAATAATGTTCCTTTCAAATTTAGAATTGGGATAGTTCTTCGTTGATTGTTCATTCCTATATACTAAAGCCCTATCAAAAACTTTACTTTGGTAATAATTTATGAGCTTTGCAACTCTGCAAGCTGTAACATAATTCTAGATTATTTGACCTTTGCTTCAATTTGAATCAAATGTTGTAGTTCTACCCACATGGGAAATTACAACTTTTTAATTTGGAATAAACTAGAATTTGTGCAAACCTGGCATTCCACATTAACCATGTGCATTTCAGGAGGTTTTGTTGAGGCTAATTAATTTACTTTATGAAGGGGTTTTGCCTTTCCCACTATTGGATGCATGCATTATGGCATTCCACATTGAAGGTATTCGAGACAGATCCTAAAGAGCCAGATAATAATAAGTTTATAACAATTCTGCAATTGCCAATGTTGGTCTTGACTTGAGTTTGAATGATAAATAGCAAACTAATTTTGGGTAAAATTCTAAGTTTGAGTTGCTGTATTATTTTTTCTATACTAGTTAAAAAAAGAAACATTGCTATTATTCATTAACACTATTATTACTTAGCCTATTCTTAATATCAGTCTCTTAGTATACTGATATCGAAGAGGTAAAAATTGAAAGTAAAAACCAGGAAATTGTTAAAAAGAAAAGATATGACCCCTTAATTTATTTATTGTTGATCAATGCAAGTCATATGAGCCTTTGTGAAAAGGTACCAAAGTTCCTTAAAACAAGACAAGAAACAGGATAGATGAACCATTTTAGATTAGGTACTACTCAAAGATTGAAGGGCTAGATGCATATCTTTGGATAATAATTTTCTACTAAAAAAAAAAACAAAGAATTTGGTAAGCTTTATTTTCTTCTTTTGGGGGGTGAAATTAGATGGTTGTTTAATCCGCACGAATGGGGCACCAAGGTTGCTCGACCTAAAGGCTAAACCCCTTTCTGTTTGTTTTGTCGTTTGTGTTCGTTGGTGGATAGTACTGTCTTAGGACAACCTGGCACATCATTGGCCTACATCTTCTTTGGAACACTATTTTGTCTTATTTGGTATCCAAGTCCAAGTCCAAGTCCAAGGGCTATCCTCTACCCTCCTTCCTCGCTTTGTGGCAATTTTGCGACGTTCTTGGGTATCCACTATCCACATAAACAGGTTCCCAATCTAGGGTCCAGCAAGAACTTTTTTGTCTTTTGTATTTTGCCCCCGCCTCTACCTCTTCCTTTTGGTATGATTCATGGCACATTGGCATGTTCAGAAATGAGCGTGTGCTTCAAAATATTAAAAGAAAAAGAAAAAGAGTTTTTAAGTTCTCCAGTTCTTGTATGACCTTACGTTTTGAGTTCCAGAGACTAGAATGCAAAATTTCATATCGATCAAAAGAAAGAACAAATAGATTTCAGGTATTGCAATGCGCTTGTTTTCAAAGGGGAACACTGAACTCTAGCTCCCTAAATCTTTCAGACAGGCCTGATTTATGTTCGCAGTAACTGCTTCTAGTTGTATGGTGATGAAGTTTAGGAAGCTTTCCATAGCCAACTAAAAATTGCCAATCCCTGACAATTCCCTTGAGCTTCATAATAGATTATCATCAATGGTACCCTGACTCAAACTGTGATACTTGTGTTACTGTGTAGCCTGGTATCAGTTTTTCGAATTCAGCATGGATCTCTTGGGATCGAGGGTGAGTTGCATCGCCGACGGAAAAAACATGAACCATGTCATCCACTCCAACCCAGCGCCAACCTGCACTTTTCCTTAGTCCCTTTTGTTGCATCAGCTTCCTAATCTCAGCTACCTCAGCCCATTGATCAATTTTTGCATATATATGTGCAAGTGTTACGTATGAGGCTCCATCAAGCGGTTCCATCTTGAAAAGCTTAATTGCAGCCTCCCTTCCAAGCTCTACTTCACCATGAAGGTTGCATGAATGCAAGAAGGAACTCCATATGACATAATTAGGATCGTAAGGCATTCCTCCGTCACCTCCTTGGCCTGTCTCAAGAGTCCATTCCTGGCATAGAGGTCAATCAAGCAAGCATATTGCTCTAGCTCAGGAACCAGCCCATAATCCCTCGTCATTCTATTGAAATACTCTATCCCTTTGTCCGAAAATCCAGCATGATTTCAGGCAGTTAATACAGCAGTAAAGCAAATATGATCAGGCACATAACTTTCTTTGGTCACCAGATGCTCAAAGAGTTCCAATGCATCTGAAGCCCTCCCACTCTGAGCATAACCCATGATCATTGAAGTCCACAACACACGATTCTTCTGCACGGTCTGATCAAAAACACGACGAGCCTCCTCAACCTAGCCACACTTGGAGTACATATCAATCAAAGCTGTAACCACAAACACGTTGCTTTGAGAACCCATTTTAGTAACCAAAGCATGCAGCTGTCTTCCTTCGTTGACAACAGTTAGGCTACTGCAAGCATTCAAAATGCTAGTTAAAGTATGATTAGTTGGTCTCAAATTCTCCTTCCTCATTTTGATAAACAATTTCAAAGCCTCTTCACCATATAAATTCTGAGAAAAACTTGATACCATTGAATTGAGTAGAATATTATCCCACTCATTGGCCTCTTTGAATAACAACACAGCCTGATCAATTCTTCCACAATTTGAATAACAATCAACCAAAGTACTAAGCACAAAACTATTTGAATTAAATCCAAGTTTGGTAACATGCCCATGAAGCAATGCACTCTCCTCCAATGCCTCTTCTAGCATAGTACAAGCACTTATAACACCAACATAAGTAACACAATTGGGTTTAATACAAGTACCAAACATCTTCTTAAACGGTAAAATGGCTTATTTTCCATGACACTTTTGGGATAATCCAGATATAATCGAGGTCCATGAAACTTGATCATGATTTTTCATGCTATCAAATACTCTTCTTGCATAAAGAATTGCATCACATTTTGCATAGAAATCAACCAGTACAGTGTTCAAAATCAAATTCTGTTCGTACCCGGATTGAATTATACGGGCATGAAGTTGTAAACCAAGATGCCAGCTTTGTGTTTTTGTGCAAGAGCGCAGAGCAAAGAAGGAACCTTGTCGGCTTTGTTCCAGAGGCAATTTTTTTACAGAAGGAATGCAATGCTTCGAGACCATTGGAAGGCTTAGCAGATTCATTGCCAACAACGACTTCACATTTTTCTGCCAAACCGTTACCTTTTGACAGTTGAAAACCACTTCTTTGGGCAATTTTGTCGGACAAATGGCGTGCCAAGCATGAGAAACATTGGTAGCAACACTGCGAAGGCAACTCTATGGAAACAGGGACGAAATGGAATCTAACTGCACCGGCAGTAACAAGCATATGGGGAATATCTAAGTTCCAAAACTTGTTAATATCTTCAGGAACACTTTACTCTAAAGAATTAATAGCTACAAAATCCCGTTCTAACTTTCAACTTTCAAGTGTTAGACGGCTGTTGAGTTCTGTTATATATGAAAGGCCTTCATAACATTTGCCAGAACCAGAAAAGATGTTACCTGGTTATTGATAATTATCTCCTGTTTTCTCAAGGATTTGCTAGCGTATAATCTCTCGCCTTAAATACACTCAGTCCATAAAATAGAATTTTACCTTTTAAATAGACCATATTAAACTTAGAGGAGAAAGTGAGACGGAGAAGAAGGTCGAGGGTGTACCTACCCTTAATGCCAAAAGATACATTAACAATTATGGACAAACAAGTTCATTTGAAGCTACTAATCTAGTGATCCCCAAAAAAGTTAAAAAAAAAAAAAAAAATTTAACACATGATCTCAAAGGGGTGCTAGTGGATACAGAGGCTCAAAGATAATCATTAGTGAATTCAGGTACAATGAAGAATGTCATGCATGCAAGTTGGTCTACCCTGGAATCAAAATCTTCACCAGCGTCTCAAGCTGAATTATGTTAAACAACTGGCATTACCAAAGCAGATCATTCGTTCTCCTGAGTCCAGATCCTAACAGTTTTGTCATTGCCCAGTGCAGCAGATGCGATCATGTTCTGAGTGGGGTGACATGCAACTGAAATAACAGCATCACTATGACCTTCCAACTTCTGAACTACCTTCCGGGACTGAAGTTCCCACAAGTATACACAGTTATCTTCAGAACCACTAACAATATACTTCCCATTCGTGATAGAGAAAGTAGATGCAATGCAGTACTTTGAATTCACATGGCCAGTGTAAGTTTTCAAAAATTTCCCAGTTTCGAAGTTCCAAAGCCTCTGCATTTATAACGTAAAAATGAGAAAAGTATGCCAAATATACCAAATATTTGAATAATCTACCATAAAAATAAGAACAAAGACACCCGGAAGGGAAAACAGGATACCAAGCGGAAATACACCAAAAATCTAACTAATCATTAACACAACAGCAAAAAATACTTCAAACCCATCTTAATTGGCGTATAAAAGAACTCACAAATAAGGTAACTATGCAAGACAATTTCTGCGTGGGAAACTGCATTCAGAAACTCCCCTCTATATGCTCTAAGCAAAGTTAATTGATAGAGAAATAAAACAACCCAATTATAATTCATCTAAACAATTGTTTCCAACAATGTGTAGCACCTAAACTGTAAGCAAGGTGCATAAACGAGGAATGATGGCAAGGTTGAAACTGCATTGCAAGTGAATCAAGTATGACAAACTAACAATTCTTGTGGGGCTTCTCAAACACATGCTCTATCCATCTACACAAATACTAATATGTGACCTATCAATTTTTCCCAGCAAGCAATCATTTTCAGTAGCAGCTAGTAAGATGTTAGACAAAAATAACTCATCCATCAATTCCACAACCATTAAGTATTAGCACAAGGTCTGGAACATCTCATCAATACACATTAGTACATACATATGTTGAAATGTTTCTCATTGAGAATAGACTTGAACATGGGAGTGACAGAAAAGTACGGAAAACAAACTAATGAACTAAAAAATAACTAAAAAGAGAAACTCTGATAGATGATGCTGCCAAAGTACTCTAAAGCCTTGGCCGCTCCTACATTTCCAGCCAAAGTACCCAAATATTGCTTCCAAGTAGTTTAAACTTTATAGTTCCACCTCAATATCCACTCACTCTGAATTGTAAACAAATATACCACCTTTCAAAAACCAACATTAACAACATACAAAACCCTCAATTTAACCTGAGACAATCATAACCCACATCACCAAAACTAACATACATTCAAGAAAATTTAAAAAGAAAAAGAAAAGCCCAAAATTTAGCACTTACCAAAGTATTATCCAGTGTCCCAACAAGAATAAATTTCCCATTAGGCGAAAATTTAACAAATGAAACAGGTGGGTTCTCATCATCAATCAAAGTCTTCATACAATGTCCAGTTCCAGCATCCCAAATCCGACAAAGCCCATCATAACTACTCGAAACAATGAGGGATCCATCTCGATTAAAATCAACGGCTGTCACTGGATCCGAATGAGCCGGTAAAACTTTCAAACATTTTCCCGTTTTCACGTCCCAAACACGCACCGTTTCGTCGAAAGAACCCGAAACAATCATGTTAGATTGCGGGTTAAAGTTGGCGCAGAAGACATAGTTGGTGTGGCCGTGGAGGGTTTTGATTAAGGAGCCGGTGGGGACGTCCCAGAGACGGAGGGTTTTGTCGTCGGAAGCGGAGACGAGGAAGCGGGAGTCTGAGGAGAAGGCAACGTCGGAGACGCCTTGATCGTGGCCGGAGAATTCATGGAGAGGAGAGAGAGTGGTGGCGCTGGCGGCGGAGGAGAGGGCGTAGGTACGGAGGGTTTTGTCGGCGGAGGAGGAGGCTAGGAGGCGGCCGTCGGAGGAGAATTTGAGGGAGGAGATGGCGTTTTTGTGGCCGGTTAGGGTTTGGGAGAGATTGTAGGGTTTGAAGGGTTCGGTGGTGGTTGTTGTGCTCGTTGGTTCTGTCGACATAATTTTGGGGTGGAATCGCTAAGGTTTATGGGAATTTAGAGGGAAGAGGGCTTAGGGGAGGGTTTAAGGTTTTGAAAAGCGAAGTGAACTAAGTAGCGAGAAAGATGTGCTTATTCTAGAACGATCGGTGTATTTCGAATCTGATCCTGAAATTCTGAATAGGCGGGTAACCGGCCTCTAGGCAAATTTTCTTTCTTTCTTTTTTTTTTTAAGAATAAATATTAATGTCTTTTTCTTTTTTTAACGTAAACACGCGCAACAGCTGACATAATAAAAAAAAAATTGATCTAATAATTTCTCCAACTCTTTCCTTAAATTCGATTCGAGTGACATCCGGGCTGCTGTCGGAAAAAGGCCCAGACGGGCGCACCGCTCATATGGCAGCTGACTGCTTCCGAGACGAACATCAACATTAAACAAGATGGTTTCGGTCGTGCGCAAAAGAAAAAGAAAAACAAGATCGTTTGGTTCGGTCGTGGTCTCCTCAATAGATGAACATTTATCCTAAATAAAATCTCAAACTCATCAAATAAATTGATGAACATTTAATATTGAGTTTGCTTGTTATTATATTATAACTTAAGTATACTTACTTGATAGGAATGCATTTGTTTACCAGACATACCGATACAGGAATAACTACATTCCGCAGATTGGGTTGTAAGCGTGTATCCAACTCCTTACGCAAACTCCCCGGTCTTCTCTCCACATGCAAACAAAAAATTTTACCTACCAATTTCTCAAAGACAAATTCATCTATGTACAGTATTGAGGAGAAAAGAATGAAAAAATGGAAGGGCAGGGAGGGAAGGGTACAAAATACAGGAGGGAGGGCCATACAAAAATGCTTACGTTTTGGGACTTTGGGAAGTCAATGAAGGAATGCGGGAAAGGGTCGGATGGCTTGAGGGGTTGGGGTTTTGGACAACTTGATTTGAGCCTTGTTCGGATGGGATAAATCCCAAAAAACCATTGCTTGTAGTGCCATAGTCTATTGCTCTTCTGAACGAGTCGTCGCTGCCACTCATTCTGACATGAGGGCCCTTGCTGAATAGATTTTGCCTAATAGTGTCCTGTGTAACAGAGCAAAGGTTAAGAGACAGTTAACAGGGAAATGGATAATGACAAAAAAAAATATGAAATAAAAGTTACTGAACTTTAAAACTTGTAATAAACAAGAACAAGATATAAACAAAGGTACCACTGTGGTATTCTAAATATTTACTTCTCATAGTCTTAACAACCTCTTGATAGGAAGAACAAGCAAGGACAGGAAAATATAATTCAAAAACACCAGTTAGCAATGACTGCATCATACCTTTTGCCCTTGCCCAAAAGCTGCACCGAGAGCTGGAGCTAACTGATAGCTTTCACTGTGTGATGAAGCAGGACTTTTCATCTCTGGATATGATTTACGCCAATCTTGAGGAACCTTATCAGGAGTCCCAAACCATGAAACTGAACCACCAACCCAGTTATCACTACTCTTGGTAAACCTGACATATGGTGGAGAGTTATCATGAGCCAGTAAGTAGTAGGAACTGTGGTGCTCCTCCCTGCAAAGAGTAGGAGACAGATCCCAGCGCCCTCTACAAATAGATTTTGAAGCAACATGTTGATAGTTTGGATAGATGCAAGATGATCTTGAATGCCAATGGCTGATAGAAAGACCGTAAGTGAGAGGAGGATATCCTCCAGATGCTAAATTAGGTGACAGCTCCCTGTTTGAAAGCCCCAGATAGCGTGTCATTGCCCAGTCTTCAATTGTTATTCCCTGCTTGGCAGCAAGGTCCAGTATCTGTTTCTCCTCAAGTCCCAAACCCATGAGCAAGTTCCAAAGATTTCTTTGTACCTCTCTTTGGTTGTGAATTATTTGATCCCTCATTGCCATTTCAAACTGAAGCTCAGTATTAGCCATCCCCTACATTAATGCAAAGAAGACTATGAGACTTTGATGGCATAAGCCATTATTTCCCTATCTTCAGTTGTCACAATGTGTTCACCTTCGAATAAAGTGGCAATTTGCAGTTATATTTTAGTCAGTAGATGATAATAGATAGGTACCAAAAGTCAACTTTCGAAGGCTACAATAGTTAATCACAAGTAAACTTAATACTTATTCACTGTCCACTCACCAGGAGTCTGTATTGACTGAGTATGCGCAAATAGGTTTTATTGCCATTGTTTCTAATGGCTTCGTCAACCATATCTTGCAGTTGGCAGCGATGCTTTTCATTTGCTTCAATTTCCTACAAGAAGATTATCCTTAACACAACTAGAAGGCACAAGGGATTTTAACATATAAGCCTCTGGAGCAGCAAAGTTTACCTTTTGGTAATTAACACCAGCCTCATCATTGTCACGGATGTTGTCAAGAATATCTTGCCTCCTTACTCTCAGAACTTCAACAACAGTACCATCATTTTCAGTAGCCTATTACACAGGGTTAAAAAAATGAATATCATAAAAAAGGATAATTAAATCCACCCACCACCAGCTACACACCACAGACAAGTAAAGGGGAAAAAACTAGAAAACAAAAAGCTTGTCATATGTTATTGTTACTTTGACCAGGGTGTTCTTAAGTCGTGACAGCATTTGGTGGGTTAGGTGGGTATTGGATGGGTGGAACTGGAAAGTACTAATAACTCAAACATTCTTTACTTCACTTCTATTTTGATAACCAAAGAATTTTGTCAAGAAGCAACAGAAAACTGCCATTTTCCATGATCAAGAAACATTAATGGAAGAAAAGACATAATGACAAGCACAACTCGTTAAAAATATAAGCAAGAAGTTGCAAAGCGGCAGCCTCAATATCTAACCTGGTTTTTTGCAATAGCATCATCAAGATGTTGGAGTTCAGTGCGGTTTCGAAGATTGGTTTCCTCAAGTTCAAATAGTGCCTTCTGTAAGTTTATCCGTTCCTGAACGTTTTCACTGATTTCTTGGCTCAAAATGTTTAACCAAGACAGTTCATCATCGGCAGCCTTTTCAGCTGGTTTGACACTCAACTGTGATTCCTTTTCTGCTAGTTCTTTCTTCAATCTGCAAACTTCAATCTATGCAACCAACAGCATATTTACACAAGATAAGATTGCAACCAATTATAACCTCAACCAAAATCCATCAAAAAGCTTACCTGAAGGCTGTCAATCATTCGTTGGTAATCTGATACGTGTGTATCGATTGTGCCAATATTTTTCTGAAAAAGGAAAAAAAAAAAGCAGGAAAAAACGAAAGACAATGAGGCATTTGATAATACAGCATAATTAAAGACCTTACCACTAGAAAAGGTAAATACAGCAAGAAAACAGGCAAAATAAATGTGATGCTTAATCTAGCATATGCTGTGGAGTTGAAGAACTGATAGAATTTATCTTTGAAAAGAGCTACATGCATAAAAAACGAATAAACCTCATGTCACTGCACAATCTTATGTTCTTGGGAAGTATGAATACTGTCTTCCCAAAAGGTATACTCAGCCTGACCTGGATGTGCGTCTTTATTTCCTTTGCTCTGTCTGCATATTTCAGGGTATTCACAGTGTGATGATACTGACTACCTGCTGGAGATATTGTAGCAACCATCACTGTCTGAGAATTACCACTCAAACCATCTTTAAGTATCCGCGTTAGTTTACTGCAAAATTACCAATAGCTGCATAAGTGGAAAGGACTCAGGCTACTATACCTACAATAGCTACTAACAGATACCTATTGCGGTAAGGAACATATGCAAGCCCTTTCTTTTGTTGTTTCCCAAGAGCATTGATGCAGTTTGCTAAAGCAAGAAGTGAACGATTAATGCTAGCTCCATCCCTCAGCTTTTGGCCCCCACTATTTGTTTCAGAAGCTCGTTCACTGCCAGCAAGATCCACAAGTGCAAGTTTTCCTCGCATGACTTGGTTTCTATATTTGTTTCTCTGTTTTCTTCTCACAGCAATCTCCAAAACTGCATGTGATCTAGTTGGATGAAGACAACTTTATTATGAGATCATGCAAAAGGTTTCAACACATACTGAGTGCTTCAAGAAGATATAATACAATTTTTGTAAAGGAGTTCTATAGATGATTTAGCACATCAAAAAGTGAGAACAAAATATGAAAGTAAGCAACATTAGAGAAAATCCAAAGTGAAAGAGGAATATCAAAAATGAGAATCAACAAATCCTTACCTTGATGATGTCGCGTTAGCCTCTGTGCTTTCTGTTTTCCTTCGACTATTGCCCAGATTTAGAAGTTCAAGAATCTTATCAGCCGAATGAACCTGATGAGGGAGAAAAACCACCAAAGACCATTAAGCATCAAGATCATAGCACTCACCATAAACTATCGATAAAATAATGTAAAATAGAAAAACAAATTATTAAAATTTCTCTAAAAGAGAAAATTATAAAGTCCTTTAAATGTATTGCGTGGGCTCTTTTCCAACTTTGATCAATAATGACCCACTCCAACCTCCAGACTTAGAAATTAACGCTTTGCATGCTAAAGAACACCCAGAGTTTATATATACAGTTCAGTAGCCTGAATAGATAGATAAGAGGCTGAACCTTAATACACCTTAGCCCAGCAACAATTATTCCTTGTTCAGGATCCTCTCTAAGTTCCAAGGGACCCGACGATTTTTCAAGTAAATCATAGATAACCTAAAAACATGAGAATTTGAAACTTCAATAACATGTATAACAAAAACATTAATATACTAAAGGAAAGAAATAAGTATCTTGATAAAACTCTATTCCCTACTTCATTGTAGACTTCAAGGTAGGAACAAGTAACTTCAAATTCGTCAGAGCTGTTGTCCCTTTTAATAAGATTAAAAATTGTGTGCAAACTAAGAACCATGAGTCCAGGATCATGTTGTGTCCCAACCATTGTATATGTTTTACCACTGCGAATGCATAAAATAGTCAAACTTTTGTAATTGAAAGACTGATGTATAGATGCAAAAATCACAAGAGATAAGTAAGCATCAGATAATTATTCAAACTCTAAGTTGCCTCAACACTACATTGTTTTGGGGGAAAT